TCGTAACTTTCTGTTCGGTACGGCTCATGCTCCTCTGTTCCGAGGAAGACGTGGTGATCTGCTGCTGCTGATTTTGTTGGCTCATGGCTGACAAGCGGTCTCCTCGCCCGAGCTCAGAAAGATCCGTTGGAAGGATCGAAATCCTACGCAGGTGGTATCCTGGCGGATTAACCTACCACCCGAACCTCACTCGCACTCAACCACCCTCTTACACACAAAAAAACACTCACTCACTCACAGAAAGATAGCAAAACGATAAAGAAACAAAATCGAATTAAAACGCGTGCGACACAGAACACCGACGAAATTATTTCACAGGCTAACGACTGAAATTATGTGTTTTACACAAAAAAAATAAGATAATGAGTTTTTCGCTAAATCAAATATTGGTTGATCGTTCTTTTTAAGATATTCTCTTGAACTCGCCTTGGTGGTAACTGAATCGCTGAAGTATGCGGCGGTACGGGTATTTGGAATGAAACGATGGCTGCGGTCGTGGTGGGAGACCGACGTTTGAGTAATGTGCTTTATTTAGATCTCTGTAAAATTAGAGGGTCCCTTACAGGAGACTATCTATGTGGGACGTGTTTCGTTTTATTTATTAATATTCTTCTTTTTTTTTCTTTTTTTTTTCTATTAAAATATGTGAAGCTAGAATGGTGAACTTGAAAGTGTCGAAATTAATGTGAATATTTATATATATATTTATACCTATATAAGATATACTTATACACTTAGATGACAATTTAAATCAATATTGAATTCACCGAAAACCAAAAACTTAATAAAAATTGTAATGATTAATATTCTAAAAAAAATAATTAGTGTCATTATCGTCCATCGTCATTTGGTATAAACGAGACGGACATAATTTAAAAAACAAATTATTACTGCATGCGTATTACAGTACTCATTATAAATATCCAACGCACAAGCATCAGTATAAGGTTTTATAAATAATTAATATATATAATATGTTGTAATTACCATTGATTTTTTGAAATAAAATATAACAATGCCACCATCATCCTAAAATAATAAGTGAACGTCATAAAATAAAAGTAAAATCATGCCAAATTTTTGTAAGCTAAATTCACCACGTGATCTATCTATTTGCCCACAACCCAAATCTATGATTTTCTAAATTTTTTTCAATTTAAGATTTCGAATATAAACCTATAACATCAATAAGACGCTGTCGAATTAAAATTAAAAAGTTGTTATTACAGTATTAATTGTATACCAAAATATAAATATGACAAATAAATTAAAATCACTTATATTAACATGCGTATAAGCATTATATTAGTTCAATTTTTTTTTTTTAGTGAAAAAAAAATACCTCACGAAAAATGTGTTATATTATGATGTATTAACAATCATCTTGACTTGTAAAAACACTGTACTTTTATTATAATGTTGATATAATAAAGTCTCAATATGGTATTTAATAACAGTTATTATCTGGCTAATAAATATTTCTTTTATTGAACAAGACTGACATAATAATAATTATAATAATAGAAATGTTGAATTACTAAATAAGGTTGCATTATACAGGGAAATTGATCATTTAACTTCTGACTGGTATTTTTTTGTGTTTTTAAGTTCAAATCATAATGACACCATTGCGACACCTACTACTACACCTATAGTATTAAGTATTTATTATTATTTAGCGAATTAGATATGAATTCGTTTCGAGTGAAAAATAGGTGTAGATTAAAATAAATTTAGGTATGTCGATTACATGCAATTTAGTGTTAATATTTTTTTTTTTTTTACATTTTTCAATCACCAAAGTAAGTACGATATTGTTTATACGATCGATAAATATGATATTTTTGAATAGTGAAGGGCTCAGGATTGTAAATTTCGAATTATTCGAATTTGACAATTTTTATATCTATACATTTTTATATTTGTCAATTTAGGAAATCTATATTTCAAAGATTATTTCAACTCAATTTTGTTGTCAATGACTCATTTTTATACTCTAATAAATTTAATTCTATATCACAATCTTCATTATAATAAAATAAAATAATTTATTTATAATATTTATAATAATTATAAGTCACATTTAAAGCAAATCTATAAATCCGGATTTGGATATTCAAATAATCAGAACATACAAATCTTCGGATTACACGCCCATCTCTACATTTAAACGATATAATGATATTTTTAATTCATTTAACAATCTAAAATCAAGTAATATAATTTATTCAACAATTCGCAAAAGAAGCCAATATAACTTAGCATTTAAAATTAAATTTTTGTAAAAAATGCATTCAATCGTGCCAATGAAAATGTCTGTGACATGTTGATCCATATTAAATATATTAACAGTAAAAATATGTTCTTTTTCTACAAACGCATTACAGAAAACCATAGATATTTAGCGAGCTATTCTCGTTCGAAGATTTATTATTTTTATTCAACGCGATACGAAAAAAATGAATTCAAAGATTTTTAAATGCATATTTCTAGATTTCGTACGTCAACGGTGAACTCAGAATCTAATAATACGTGACGGAGATTTAATAAACACTCGCGTTTACACGATTCACGACACACCACGAGCACAACTGAAAATTCGCCCCCACACGTCCATAAAACTAAACAGACAACCTAATACAGAGTTCGATCGACAGAAATGAATTATGTTACACATAGGTCTTCGGGACTAACTATAATAATACGAGTGGAAACGAGAACAGCATTAAGTCACAATATGTAGTAGACGGTTTTTCTGTAGATAATGTTTCGCTGGCGCATTCGTTGTATAAGTATACTCAAAGGAAAAATAATCAAATCGATAATGTTTGATTTAATTTAGTCTTAGTCTATAATTATTACGAAATCGCATGTTATATGTAAGCTATTATCTGAATGAGTTAATAAAGTTACTGCGCTACGAATTCATCATACCAATTGTATAAGATATATACACCACAAGAAGGAACATTTTTAGCTTAAACAATAGTGAATTAGTTCTCAAGATTTAGATAAAAGAGATAGGTAACTATTATACGTTAACATAAAATAAACATTTTATAACATTTGTTTTTGACTTAGCGCAAAAATTTTAATTTATCAGTGTCATATCCAGCTGAAAGGTTCGAAGGGACTATTTCCATCTACCTCATCCTAACCTTGTGATTTTTGTTTTTGTGCACTCATTTTTGTTTTTAAGTTGAAAAATTATGTATAAAATCAATAATAGTGAAAGAACATCTAGCATTTTTACAACCTAACATGTAAGCCAAATAAGTCGTACCGGGCACAAGATAAGTGCATAACAAGTACCCAAGTGTTAAAATTAGTATACGATAATGTAGATATAACTTTGACACTATTAGAATTTAAGGAAAAGGTGCTTGAGTCACTATAGCACCCTTTAAAAATATTTATGACAACCTATTTATATAGTACAGTCGAGTCATGATAACTCGAAAAACTTGACAACTCGAACTGTGTTTTATTCTTCAAAAAAATTCTCCCCCTATAAATTAGTTAGATATCTCGAAGTGAATTTTTATCTCCCTTCAACTTCGAGCTATCGTGACTTGACTGTATTTTATTTTAAAAAATCAGAATCCTAATGTGAAAAAAAAATGTCTCATTTTAGGCATTCATTTATAAACAATTATGTGTTATTCATTTGTCTGTATTATTTTATTCACAAAAGCTGGTGCTCTAAAAAATACCTTTTAATCAATACAATTGCCCTACTGCTTCAATGATTAAATATATATATATATATGTAAGTACACATTTTATACGAATCGATTTGCGTATTAAACCACACGTTATAAATAGAGCAGTGGTGTGTATACATATGGTGTCTCATAGACTGAAGTATGTATTTTTTTTTTTATTACGAACAAATCCCTCCCCCCAACGGTGTACTAAACAGATTATATACACTGTAAAGTGGTTGGATAATTATGGCGATTGGTGAAGTGTATTTTTATTTTTGGTCAAAATACCTAATTTGTTTTCGGCTAGTAAACATGGCTAGTGATACACGAACATCGATACTCGGAAATCAACACATTATATTTAATTTATATTCTTTATGTATTTTTACGGTTTATAAATAATTTAAAAAATGTTGATCACTCGGAATTCTCTCGATTACGACGTTTAAGCTACGTTATATATTCAAGACCAAAAATTATTATCAATCCCAACAAGATATAAACAGTACCCATTTTTTGAAGAAAAACTTGTGATTATAAGTATGTATTCGTACTTATGTGACTAATAAATCTTCATCACTACTGTGATCATAGGCTTGTGCAGACCTTTCTGGCAAGGGAGGCAGAAAATATATACAAGTATAATACCCGTATTAATTATTCAATTATATTATAGAATAAATTAATTAATATTATTTTGATTATTAGCTCAATTCATTTTAACGATGAAGGTATTTTTATCTTATATAGGTATATCATTGGTTCGAATAGAAATGTCATATAGTAATTTAAATTTCACAGTGCATTTGTATTTTAATAATACAATACTTGTATAAAAGAAGAAAATAAATCACATTGTTTACAACTGCTAAACAAAAACCTTTTAGCCTTTCAGAGTACCATTCATCTTTCAGAGAAACTTAATATGTGCTGTTAATAAACCAATGTGACTGCCGTGTATTTATGAAAACTCATTATTACTACGGTATCTTACGAGGCGCGAAGCTGGACAACACAAAAACATTGGGTACAGCGCACGCAATGTTTACATATTATTTATTGTATAAAATTATTTTATATTTTTTTAAGACTACGGGGAAAAATAAAACTCGCAGGAGTGGCAGTTGCCAAACCTGCCCTTCCTCCCATGCGCATATAGTTGTGAACATTACAAACTCGATAAAATATAATATTTATTTCTCTGAAATTCGACGCAATGAGTAACATCTAATAATATTTAAAATATCTAACGTGCACAATTATTGTGATATTATTCAATTCTATAATACTTACTATAGTATTCGCTAGGACTATACTCCACTATAACATCGTTGACCGGATATCCTGCGTAAGGGTTAATTGTCATCGATTCGTCATCTGTAAAACACAATAAAACACTATAATGACCAATTAATTATACGGGCCATAAAAATTTTGAAAGTTTGTATGTTTGTTTTTTTATTAAGTTATATTATATTATAAAATCGTTAAAAAGCATAACTAATAATCCATACCACAACCATAACACTAATAATTTACTTTGAATAAAATGACAGATGTGATTGTTATAATATGATATTCTTAAAAAACACAATCTCGCCTCGTCAAAGTGCTTTATCAAAAATGTTATCAATAATGATAATGAAAATAAAAAATGATTTGTTAAACTATCGAAAATATTAATATTGTTAGTGGTTATTAAGCGATGGCCGTTCCGAAACAACCCGTATGTTAAGCGATAAAAAAAAAATTCTTAAATTAAAATAAAACATTTAAAAAAAAACAATTAAAGTCTTTAGTGACATTATATTCTATACTCGATAGCAGGGCTTGAAACCGGTAACCGATTTTTTCCAGTAACCGGTTACCATGACTAATTTTTGGACTGATATCCGCTTCCTGGTTCTCGTGTTTCAATAATATTATAAAGAAGTGGTTATCAAATACCGGTAATCGCGTAATTTGGTAAAGATGGAAATCTATAATGGTAACCGTTTATTTTTAAGACCGGTCAATTAACCAATACCATAAATCTCAAAACCAATTAACGTTAATTTTTTTTTTTTTTTTTATTATATTCTAAATAGTCGAAAATAATTCTAAAATAGTTTATTAAATTATTTAAAAATCACGAAGTAAATATGAAAAAGTAAAAACACCAAAACAAAAATAACATTTTGTGTTCGAACCCTTAATATTATCGAGGCACCAACAATTCGGATAGATTTTCAGTATACAGATTGTTCTAATAGCTGATACATATGATATGTAGTATTATACATTTATAACTCATGTACAATATACAACCAGATATAGGTTATTAAATATACCAAAATTAAAACAATTATTGTTCAAAAAAGTAAATAAATTATAAATTATTGAATCGATTAGTTAGTAAATTTTAATTTCAATTTTGTATCTTACCAGAAAAAATAAAACAAATATCTGTTGATTTACAACCATTTTAACGTTACCATGTAAAAATAGTAATTATTAGTAGGCATTTAGCTGTACTCTTATAATTAAATATTATTAAATTATTTAAGAATTCAATGGAGAACGGCTATTTATTTGTGTTGTTTCGGTTCTAATAACAAAACGTGAGTAGTCCCATAGATACGAGACTACCAGCCAAGTGGAATCTCTAATTAATAGTACGCACATTGCTTTTATTCCCATAATTGTATTATTTAACGCATTAATTAACAATTGTTCTTGAAATACGAATAATACACCTAAAATATTTATTTACAGTATCGTATTGTATAAATCTTCCTTATGATTTTCAATAAATTTCAATCGTTTTTGATCTCTCAAGATTTTTCATTATATAGAACATGATGGAATTTATCGCGTATTCCTTTCAATTTTGATTCAATAACATGATATTTACTAACACTTTGACGTAAAATGTGTGGTGATTAATTGATAATGTTAACACCCTGTACACATTTATTTACTGCAGCATTATGTCCATATATACTTTTACAAATAAAAATAAAAGTCATTAATCATTGGAATGGGGGACGACCCCCTGGCAAACACGCGTGACTTGCGCCACTGTATTCTTAAACTCATTATTAAAAAATGTCACGAATAATCTATATTTATATATTTTATCCATAAACGATAGTGCATAATATGATAATAGTAAATAAACTCAATCGTGTGTAGCCATTGGGCACTAACTATCGGTAATCAGTACGGTTGATGATTGTATCATTGTTGTAATATACACAAATTCACTATCCTTATTAAACCCTATCTAATTCAATGATTTTATAATGATTTTTGGTCTTTTCTCGTCTCTATTTAACCTTTTTCTTAGCCTTGGGCAATTTTTTTACAAAACTTACATGACGCATAATCGCTTTATACTTCTCAAAAAATTGTATAACTTATTAATAGTTTTGGAAAATTATAAATTGTTTTCAGACCAAAAATATAGAATATATCAATCATTTTATTAAGCTTAAACTTAATGACACTGTCATTATTAACACATATCAACAAACGTACATTTAAGCGCTGATATATTTATATGTATATTTTATATTATATGAATAAAAATAAAACACCAGCTAGCCAACTGTTTTGATTCTTTTGGAACAAAATGTAAAACGAACTTGTATAACCGTTAAAAAATGAACATAAATATTACATTTTAAACAGATAAGTTAATAATCATAGAATGATGATTTATATTAAAATATAGATATCAGTTATAGGCGATAATAGTTGATTTTTGAAAGATGATATGGATGAAATATACTTTTCAATAAGACTTTACAAATAGTACTTATACAAATAAAGGGTTATGTCTCACGATTATGAATATGATTAATTAAATACAATCAAAGAGAAAAAAAATATCTTTCAAAACTGAAAGTAAAACAAATTGTTAAAATTTACAAATTTATCATATAATATTGAAACAAACATTGATGACATTAACTATTTAAGAATAAAAATGTTTGAGAATTTTTCTTTTCGAGTACCAGACAGAACGGTTGAATATATTATATATATTATTATATATATTATATATATATAATTATATAAGTGATTCGCATGTAGTAAATATTCTCCTTACGCTTATTATAAATTATAAGATGTGTAGGCGAATAAAATATTTAATTCTTCCTCGCAAAACATTATTTTATCCTTGCCGATCTAATAATTAAGTGCTGGCATGTGAACAGAATGTTAGAAAATAATTATACGTTTCTTGAATAATATAACAAATGGAGCAAGGGCAATTTATTTATCGGGCCTTTAAATAATTGCGAAAATTAAAAATATTTGTAGAAAATAAAATTGTATGATATAGTCGAAAGTGTTGAAATATTTGAAGGTTTTTACGTAGTAGGGTTCACGTTTATAAATCTATTTAAAACATCAAATGTATTTTATACAATTACGTCGATTACACTTACGTGCATCGCAATCAATTTAATTTTTATTTCAATCAGCAGAAAATGAAAAAAATTGAATGTAAACTAAATTCAGACCAAGAAGACGCTATCAAATGTCCGTATTTAGACGTATAATTATAATATTTACACACGTAAGATACGAATAGACACTTTGTTTTTAATTTTTTAATATTGAACCACGTACTTTCCTTAAAATGTATTCATGAATACAGTACCCGGTCTGGGAATTTGATTTATGGAGCGATCATCGTAAATGATCGAGGCGATTGAACGACTTTTTTTTCCTATTCATCTGATATTTGTCCTGCACAGGTTTTCGATCGTTTTATTACGGCGGGTCATGATACAGTGAATTTAAAGAGGAAATTTCATTATATCGCATTGTTTTTATAATATAACGAGTAAAATATGATGAGATATTTGCAAGACCGTGGACACCGCTTCTTGGTGTTAGTATAATTAAATCTTACATGTTGCGTATAGATACGGCTCACAGCTACGTTTGAGTGCCAAAAAAATAAAATAAAATAAAATATAAGCAAGTAATTAGGTGTATATAAGTTGTTTCTGTTGGTAAATTATTCGCATGGCGCAAAGTTGCGCAAAAGAGGCATCGCTATAAATTCACGAGCGGATCGCACGCAACTCGTAAATTTGAAAATGTCAACTAACCTACTATAATTTATTTTCCTTTTCAAACTTTCATAATATTCTGAAAAAGAACCAAACAATCCATTGATAATATCGGATTTTTCCCCCAAAATGCATCGTATCGATACAATCGATCTCAAACATTTAGTCATGTATTGTATGAACATTTTTCGGGGGCTTCACTTATTTTTTAAGTAGATCTTCGCGATGAATAATAATGAAAATTATAACTATAAATAATTGATGATAGTTAAAATTTGGAGCCATATATTCTGAATATATTTTTAAAAAATTCACTTGGGTAATAACATTTACAGGTTAGCAGAAAATTAATAATATAATTTTCCTATTCGTTCTAGTAAAATTTAAAAAAGACCCTTTTAATTACTTTTTTAACTTATTCGTTTAATTACTTATTAACTATCACAGTGGATAAAAAATGTGGAAATACAATAAAATCGACAAAAAAAAACCCTAAGTTAGTCCCCTAAATTAATTTCAATTATTTTTCACTTGCATCAAATATATCCAAGATCCGAATACTAATTATTTAGTAATTTATTCGATGAATAAGCTAATAGTATATAGGAAAAACGAGTTGACCGAAAATCGAATGCTACTTTATCAATTTACTCCTAATTGAATGATGACTGAGAAGACAAAAAGGGAAATATTATTTGTTCGTCAAAAACAACACTTCAAAATAATAATTATTAATAAATATTTCAATGAGATTATTGATAAAAATTTTGTTTAAAACAAAGAATAAAAAGTAAAAGCCGATTAAAGACATTTTGCAGGAACTGTGTTTGTCCTTCGTTATGTTTTAGTTGTATAGTTTAAACATTTGAAAGCATAGTACACAATGTGTAGGTACACATTATGTCATCATGATCGTAGTAAATCATCGATCCCATTCGAAGGTCAATATAATATTATAAATTAAGTATTTTATCTGGAAAAATAATACTTTGACTAGAACGTGACACGTAATAAAATAATTTTATATGCTTGAATAAAAATTACAATTCACCAATTATAATAATCAAATTTAGTTAGATTTTGAATAAAAAATTATTTACTTCTGTTTAAACTAATTGATTTAAAAGTAAAACGAATCGTAAATTTTAATAAAATAATTATTAAAAAGCTAAGCCTAGTATTCTCATCTGATTAAATTTTGTAAAATGGCTAACGGTTATCTTTAAATGCAATTTTCAAACCATTAAACACAAAAAAATACTTTTCATCATGAAAAACCAAACCAATGTTGTAAGACTAAATGTAATA